TAAATCGCTTTATAGCACGATTGCTAGATTTAAAACAAGGAAAAGTGCACTTTTAGATAAACAAAGCAATAATAGATGGCATTTAGATTGTGGTAGTTAAATAAAGTAAGAGACATTTTGTTACACCTTTACTTAGTGATTATTTTGCCTTATGTCTGTTCTAGAGACATGTTACAGCTTTTTGATAAACCTCTAATTGGTTTTCTTTTGGAAATATGTTTCACACTGAATGCATTAATGACTGTAAAGCGTGTCTGTGTGTGTCAAAATCGTGATTAAAATCGAAATCGCAAAATTGATCAAATGCTCAGGGAGTAGGGAGCAGAGAACTCTGTGTAGGGCTCATATCGATCGGAACACAGTTCATGCACGTAGCTCACTTCTAACGAGCTGGCGCGATGGAATTGGGAACCGCTGGGCTACATCATGTGTCATTCACGGTGACAAAACTTTAAAAGTACTACTATACCAGGAAGGGAGATCGGGTTGTTGATGTTTGTCTGCCATTCTTGCTCTGTCTGCACAGCGTGCGTGAACGCGCTGATGACGTATCCTGTCTGCGCGAACCGGGTGCGCAGAGGTATGCTAATTCATACGCTGACAGGCAGGTAGGAATGCGTGAACGCGCTGATGACGTGTCCTGTCTGCGCGAACCGGGTGCGCAGAGGTATGCAGATACATATGTTGACAGGCAGGTAGGACAGCATATTAAAACGCTCGGACCGAACGTTTTGATTGGACGAACATTTGTTGGTCCTATGCCTTCCACAGAATATATAAATACAGATAAATACATTTAGACCACTTAACTTAATGATTGCTATCGGGATGTGAAGAGACTTTCAACCAGCATAACAAAAAATGTTTCTGAAGACAATCACCTATTGCACCTTTAATATATATAAAACGAATAGATGTGTAACAAATAAAAAAAAATATCCAGACTTCACATACCTTTAATAAATCAGCAGTCTGAATTTGGTGAATGTGTGATTTGACAGTATGAAGGTCCGCTGGGAGCTCACCTCGACACATCTCAAGAATCATCTAAAAGATTAATTATAGTGAACATAACAAAATGTTTCAACAATTAATCCATAATAGACAGCATCTAATAAGTTTTAAAGTTAACTACATCTCCAAGTGTTCTTTGCAATATATGAACTTTATATGTGTACTTCATGAAAACGGGGAATTTTTAAGCATGCGGCTACTTAAAAACTGACAAAGAAAAATTTAACTGACATTTAAATTTTTGAAAATTAAAAACTCGTTTGTAACTTTAGCAGTATGTTCAACAATAAAACAATTATTAGATTAAGTTTCTGCAAGTTGTTGTGAAAATATGACGTTTTTTATTTCAAAGGCTGTGCAACTCCAGAGGTCACAATTTTGGCTGCATACGTCATCATAGCTGTATCATTTCAGAAAAGCAACAGTTATAAAATACGAGTGGGTGGGTGGACTGCCACATTTTACCACTGTAACCGTGTCAGTAGAACAGATCTCAATGAAAACAGTAACAAACAGTACATAAACACATCTTACCTTTGCCCGCAGCCCTACTATCAAAGTGGCCCTCTGCCTCCTACTTAAGAGCTCTGGCACAAGGTTTGTCATCACAGAAACAAATTCTTCCAGTTTTCCAAATTGCTCCACATTCTGATCCTTGACAACTTGCCACATAACAGCGGAAGTGAGGCGCAGAGGAGAAACCAGCAGGCGAAGTGAGGAGAGAGAAGGGACAAACTCTACAAAGACACAAACACTTGTATGTCTATATATTTGTATGTATTCATATAGAGTGCCATTCAGAAGTCTGAATTCACATTTAAAAATGTCACATTCAAATAATTTAAACCTGTAAATAAAAGTTTCAGGATTTTGAAAAATGTTAATACTGAAATCAATAAAAAAAAAAATTACATAAAATATTTTGCATATAAATTAATATACATGTGTTTTGCATATACACACATATATGTATATTAATTTATATGCAAAATAATGCAACAAAAGCGCAAATAAAAACTAATAATAACGTTACATGCCATTAAATAATCCATCAGCCACATCCAGCATGAGGTTCTAGCTGTGTACATCAGGGCTATGATACTCTCTACATCAACAACCCAGTCATGAGAAATACTGTAGATGTGAGCATTACACATCTAACGACAAATAATAAAAATGACTATAAGGTAGATGATTATACATACCCATTGCTTCTTTCTTTAAATATATTTGGATTGACAAACAGTCTTGCTTCCAACTTCGTCCGTTGACTCGTTCCGTTACACACTGCGCATGCGTCTGAAGTGGGCTGCGCATAGAACGGCAAATAGCAAAAAGGGTTCACTTTTAAAGGGCGGGGCTCATCGGCTTAGGTTGTCTCTAGTTGGTCAGAAACGATGGTTGTAAATAATAATTATCCAGGTTTTACTCCTCACTTTGCATTTATTTTTTAATAAAGGTAATCCGTGTCATTACTCGGGTAGAAATTATTGTCTTAGATCACTGCTGAGGCAGCGCAAAGACGGTTGTGACACGTGATATATGTTACTTTTCAAAGGCACATCTCAAGGTGGACCAGTCACAGTTATTTGTGACTATTGGATTCGGATTTTTTTAAATATAATTTCATACAGATGAATGGAACGAGAATATATGTGATTGCCAGGTGCCAGTCTGTGCATGAATCTTATTTAAAAGATAATTGGTTTTAGTGTACAAACATCCCTGTTGAGACATACAAAAAACCTGTTTAGATTTGAATACGGTGCAATGGACAGTCTGCCTTCATAGGCCATCAGGCGCCCCCTGGAGGATAAAATACTTTATAGGCTAGTATCATTAGCCCAGTGAACAGCACGCATGTGTCTTTAAGCGTACCTCATATCTTCTTTCTTTCAGTGGTGTACTGCACACAACGAGAGTGTACTGCCATCTACCGTTCAATATAAGTGTTAAAATACTATAATTCACTAACACCATCACAAAAAAGAAATTAAAGAAATTACAGAAAGATTCCTACAGCTTCTTACATTGAAGGAAATCCTACAATGTATTATTTTAACAGTAACTATGGAGGTTAATTAGGCCTACTGTTAGGCTGCATCAAAATATGTAGTAGGTGAAAACAAGTGATATGTCGAATTCACACAATATTCATAAAAAAACCTGGAACCCTCAGAAATGAGACTTTATGAATATGTACCAGCTATGACATCTCACAAGCATTAATTACCTTAAGCATCTACCACGTAGAGAACTAAACAGAAAAATGACCACTAAAAATATAAAAATCTATTATACTCATTCCGAAAATATAAAAATCTATTGCATACTCGTTCATAAAAAATACACATTTGAGTGATTCTGAGAATGTAAAGTTGATGGGAAAAAAAATCTAATTGGCTTCATGCACAAAATTACTCTATACACAAATATTCAATACAAAAAATTAAAATAATTTGTGCTTAGAAGCTTCTGTCACCTCTCTACCACAATCTCGGCCCATTCCTCACCGGAAAAAAGCTTCCAGATCACTGATCACTTTGGTTTTCATGTTACCACTGCTTTCTTAAAATTCCACCAAATATTTTCAATGAGATTTAAATCTGAAGACTGAACAAGCCACTGGAGAACATTCTGCTCATAAGCTTTGCCTTTTTTGAACCAGACATGCAGCTGATCCATGGGTCCAAAAATTCCAGTTGGGTCACATCACTCCGTAAAATATTCTTCCAGAGCTCCAAAGGTCTTTCCAAATTTTGAGAGTGGCATTTGGCGAGGTGTCCTGGCATGAAGTCCATTGTTGTTTAGTGTTCTTCTTATACTCTGCATTGAAATGTTGTTTCCTCATTTCATCGGGTCATTTGCAAGTCTTTGGCAGCAAATTGGTTTTTTTTCCTCAGTTGCTCTGATCAAATAATTTATTCCTCTTGATGATTTTGTGCTTTTTCTTCAACATCCTCAAAGGTTTTCTGGTACAATACATTTTAAACTTATGCATAAGAATGCCAGCTGTATCTCTAGGAAACTTTAGTGTCTTCTTGTATGATATTTTATGAAATCCACCAAAAAGATTCATACAAATTCACTTTAAGGCGTTATTGAGAATTGCAGTTGTAGCACCCCATATGGAGCAAACTTGCTGTGTGCCCTCAGAATCCTTTGGTCTATGTGTATCAAGTTTCATTAAGTTTGGACATTGCATTCAGGAAATATGTCAATTCATTAAAAACGAGCAACACAAGAGCAGTTATACTTTACAATGCTTTGATAAATCAAAATTCTTTTCATAACTTTTTATGAACTTTTTTTTTGCTTTCAGCAAAAACAAAAAAGCTCTACAGTGTAAAATATGAAATTATTTTTTTAATTATTTTAAATCATTCTTTTGACACAAGCTTCTGGTATACATATTACACAATCTTTCAAATATACCTAAAAATGTGAAACACTCAGCAACACTGAAATGGGTTTTATAGTTCTTTTTACAGAAGGTAGCTTTACAGTTCCTGGAGGCACATTTACAATCAATCAATCAATCAATCAGTCAGTTAATAATAATAATACAGCATTTTTTTTTGGAGGATGCATAGGTTTGGCCTACACAAAAACATCATACCTGCAGCACTCATGTATGTATGCATAGTTTAATACAAAGGGCGGAAAGCCAATCGACACAGTACATTTTTCATTTAAAAACATGAGATGCAGTGGGAAAAAACCCACCATAAAGTCTCGATATATGTTTTTTTTAAAGTTAAACGTATTTTGAATAAACAACGCAGCAGCGCCGCATCTAGTGGCTTCAACTGGATAGGCTAACAAAAACATTATAATGCAATGACACTTACATCGTCATCGCATCTCGTGCGCCACTGATAAGGCTGCCTGACGCACACCTAAAATTCGAATTCAACGTTTTTGCATTCGAATATGGATTTTTATTTTAAATTAGACAAATATTCGAAATTCGAATTTTTTTGACAGCCCTACTCTATAGGCACATTCCAAACAACCACAAATGCCTCTTAAGTGAGATTCCAATCAAAAGGAAATGTACATAAACACAGTGACAAGGTGTTGAGGCTCCATAGTTTTTGTAGAATGTAGAATCACTATGGGTCTGTATAAACATGCAATTTGTTTATAAGTATATTGTTTTGGTTACAAGTAGACTATGTTTGCATAGGTAACCTAGAGCAGAAGCAGGTACAACCTTCTTTACCTGTAAAGCATTCAGTATTTTCATAATTAGATTTTCTACTTCTTCCTCATTTTATTTATTTGCAAGAGCCAATTCTAGCCCATGGTTGGTGCTTGGCAAATGTTAGTTAAACACTATTATTTTACATATATGGGACAAAATATAAATACTTTAAAAAAACATCATTCAGAATCACCAAATGGCTCTTAATCATAATTAACATTTTAAATTAAAGACAATAAACAGAAATTGACAATTGAATGGCTGAAGAACCTGTCATGCTTTCTGTGTAAGGCTACATTATTTTACAAAATACACATACATTCCAATGGAATACTTAAATGTGTTGATCTCGGACACACACAGAACACCAGAACCTACATCTGTAAAGTGGACATAACACTTAATAAGTGGCACAGACACAAACACATTGACATACATTTGGTGTGAAAACAGAAAATGTATTTACTCAAAATGTCTTAAGTAATGTAAGAAAGGGATTACACAAATTTCATAGCATGCATGTAATGAAGTGATTTGAACTGTAGTGGCTTAGAAAATATTCCTGACTCTAGTAGTCTGTCACTTGACAATTTTTACAGTATTCTGAGCTCTGTGTACTGTGCTGTAATACTTAAACATATCGGCCTATTTGCCTTCACAAGTCTTTACAAAGTCAGCACACATAATGGAAAACTTGGAGAGTCAGTATGTGCCACTGACAGACTTTCAAGATTAATATAACTAAACTTGCGGGTTAATTTGAAGGTTAGGAATGTAAGGGATTTTATTTCACTATTTGTTCTCATATATTAAGTATTTTAACATTACACATTTCACCTTTAAAGTCATTTCAAATCTCATTATAATGTGCAGAAACAAAGACATTGGGAGTTTACAATATGCTTGATTAAATTCTAAAAAAGGGGACATGATACACAATAAAATCACATGATTCAGTGCCTAGGCCAGAATATCCATGCAAACCCAGGCAGGAACAGTGCTATGAGGACAGAAGAGAACAGATTCACTCCGTTGTTATCCAGGATGGGTTTCCCACTTATTCTTTTAACACTTGGTGACTCATAACTCACAACCTTTCCAATGGATTCATCGTATCCTTGATGGAAAGATAAAACATGGTCAAACATCTAGAATAATTAAAACAATACTGAAATAAAATGAAGCACAATGACAAATAAGTCCAATATGATAAATTAGGATGTTAGTTACGTCACAATGACCTTTTACCACAAATATGTTATAATATAAAACAAAACTGCTTCAATGATTTTGTTATTTCAAAATATTTTTCTTCATTACAGGTTATAACACAGATAGCAATACAAAGGAGGTGACATCATTTCTCTAGATGTGGAATTATTTAATAATAATGATGTATCATTTATCAACATTTAGTTACATTTTATTTTGCACTATTAACATAACATCCATCCCTCCCCTATGGGCTTCTATGAGGTGGGGAGGCTTTTCTTATGGTAAGACTGTTTGAGTATGCATCTGCACCTGCAGGAGAGGTTTTAAGAATCAATAATCATTCAGTGCTAAGTAACTTGGCATGTCCAATTAGAAAAGGACCTCTGATAGATCAATTATTTATATTGCATAAAAGTAAATTACCAATGTTAGTATGACTGCTGCAAGAAACTTGGAATAATATAGTGGGTAGACCACAGGGGGAAATATATATGAATTTATTTATTAGATTTTATTTACCTTTAATAAAAATCAGCTAGATTACCTGAATACTGCATGGTTGCACCAAGGAATGAGTCCAGCAGAGATCCAAACAGACCAGCTATTGCTCCATACAAGATGATAGGCCACTGAGGTACTGCGAAATGCAAATCTTTTACCAACAGGAGCTGCATGAAGTAGTACGCTGTACCCACTGTGCCTCCACCCAAAACACTGGCCACTAATCCAACAGGAGTGACTCCGCCATTGGTACCTATAAACAATTTTATATCAGTTAAGACAAAGACCTTTTGCTTAAATATATCACTTCATACTGGCCATAATCAGAGTTTAAAATTAACACTCACCTACCCGCCAAATGCAAATGAAAATCAACCGAGGCAGGTAGCACTATGAGCTCACTAGCCAAAATGGAGGTTATGATGATTATGTTCTGTCACTTTGCATGCCATTGCTATCAGAGACTCTTCAACATTAGCAAAACAAAGCACATCACTCTAGTACACTGGCAATGAGACAGAGGACTACTTTTTCAACCTGTTCTCACTCCCTAGCCGGGTGAATGCTCGATATCCAAGAATTTTGCACTGTACAGAAGACAAAGGCACTCTCTCTGGCATCTTTATTGCAACACTGTCAGTAAACCAATTGCTTTCAATGAGAAACATTTGCTGTCAAAACACTGATCAGCCACAACATTAAAACGACTGACAGGTAAGTATGTTGTTTATTCCATTACAATGGCACCTACCAAGGGATAGGACATATTAGGCAGCAAGTGACATTTCTTGAATTTCATGTTGGAAGCAGGTAAAATGGACAAGCAAAAAGATAACTTTGGCAAGGCAAGGGTCAAATAGTGATGGCTAGACAACTGGGTCAGAGAATGTACAAAACAGCAAGTCTTGTGGGGCCTTCTTGGTATGCAGTGGTTAGTACCTGCCAAAAGTGGTGCAAGAAAGGACAACTGGAGAACCCACGTCAGTGTAACCCAGGTTACTAGTAGATAGAAGCAGACACAGAAATAACATCAAATTAAATAACAGATTATATGTATTAAAAACACTGAAAACGTAAATATGACTGTGAACAAATGAATTAATAATGTGAAAATATGTAAAAGTATAAAATATCAAAGTTATAAATGTGACCAATGGCGTAATCTCTCACTTGGTAAATTCACCAATGAGATTGCGGTTGAATAACGTCACTTGACGTCTGCCATCTTTTAGACTTTTAGAGAGCAGAGAGTTCGAGATCTTTTTTCTTCCTCGTGAGCTTCTGCTCTCTAAAAGATGGTGGACGTCAAGTGACGTCATTCAACCGCAATCTCATTGGTGAATTTACCAAGTGAGAGATTACACTATTGGTCACATTTATAACTTTGATATTTTATACTTTTACATATTTTCACATTATTAATTCATTTGTTCACAGTCATATTTACGTTTTCAGTGTTTTTAATACATATAATCTGTTATTTAATTTGATGTTATTTCTGCGTCTGCTTCTATCTACTAGTAACCTGGGTTACATCAGGGTCAAGGGTGTCCAAGGCTCTTTGATGCATATTGGGGGGCGAAGGCATCGCAGTTTACTGTGAATGGGGCTGCATAGCCGCAGACCAGTCAGGACCCCTGTCCACTGCCAAAAGTGCCAAAAATTGGCATTTGCGCATCAAAACTGGACTGTGGGGCAATGAAAAAGGTTGCCTGGCCTGATGAATCATGGTTTCTTATAGGAAGAGATAGCAGCAGGATGCACTATGGAAAGAAAGCAGGCCAATGGAGCCAGTGTTCTGCTGGGAAATATTGAGTCCTATGGCTTGTGTCTTGCATCAGACTTGACTGACAGACTGACATGCTTCATACTTTCTAACCTTATCTCCACTTTTTTATTATTTTTTTATTCTGACATCTCAGATCAGGACTCGGTATCGGCAGATAATATTCATTTACTTGGATCAGATCAGGGGCACAAAAATAAATAAATAAATAAATCCCTATGGGACACATTCAGAGGTCTTGTGGAGTCCATGCCACAATGCATCAGAGCTGTTTTGGCAGCACAGTAGAGACCTACACAATGTTAGGCAGGTGGTTTTAATGTTGTGGCTGATCAGTGTGTACTGACCCAAAGTGGCAAATGGCATGGGAATTTCATCAACGTGAAATATTGCTGGGGTATAATGTTGTCATCACATGGGGCATGATTTTCATCACTGGTAGATACCTTGGGAGTGAGAATCATGGGTTGTGTTTTTAAAAAATGAAAATAAGTGGAAGGGGACAAGATGGGAGAAGGTGACAAGAAGAACCTTTAAGACACACAAGCGTGGGAAGCGAGCCGGCGCGCTCATCAAGCTCAGACAGCGCGTCTTTAGAATGGCGCTGCCTAGTATCCATCTGACGAATCTCTGCTCTCTACCCAACAAAACGGAATAACTTCTTCTGCTGTCCCAAACAAATAAAGACTTTTTAAACTCTGCTGCTCTGTGTTTCAACGAAACCTGGCTGAATGAAGCCATTCTGGACAGCACACTACATTTTCCGGGCTTCCAGCTGTTCAGAGCATATTGCGATGCAGATTCAGCAGGTAAATTGTTTGGTTCATCTTATACAAACCTACAGGCAGAAACTGAAATCAGTTAAACTTGTAACATGGACTGTAAAAAGATGGACTAATGACTGCACATGATTGGAGTGTTTTTGAAGCTGCTGCCAACGATCTGGACGAGCTCACAGATACTGTAACATCATATATCACTTTCTGAGGATATGGGCATTCCTACCAAGACTCATTTAACTTACAACAACGACAAACCGTGGTTCACTGCAAAACTCAGACAGCTCCATCAGGCCAAAGAAGATGCCTACAGGAATGGGGACAGAGTCTTGTATAAACAGGCCAAAACACACTGACAAAGGAGATCAGAGTGGCTAAGAGAAACTAATCCGAAAAGCTGAGAAACCAGTTTTCAGCCAATGACCCTGCATCAGTGTGGAAAGGACTGACATCACCAATTACAAGACACCATCCCCCCAGCACTGTGGAGAATCAACAACTGGCCGACAATTTGAATGAGTTTTATTGCAGGTTTGAAAAACCCTGTCTCACACCCCACTCCCATTCTGACCTTCTCTCCATGGATGCATCAACACCTCCAGCAACCCCCCTCTCCCCCCTCCTGCACTTCAGGTCTGTGAAAAAGATGTGTGTCAGGTCTTCCAGAAACAGAAGACAAGCAAAGCTCTAGGCCCAGATGGTGTTACATTAGTCTGAAATCCTGTGCTGACCACCTGGCCCCTATCTTCACACAAATTTTCAACAGATCACTGGAGCTGTGCGAAGTTCCTTCTTCTTTCAAACACTCCATCATCATCCCCATCCCAAAGAAAACCAAAATCACAGGACTTAATGACAGACCTGTTGCTTTAACGTCTGTGGTCATGAAGACATTTGAAAGACTGGTGCTGGCTCACCTGAAGAACAACCTTGCTGGACACCCTGCAGTTTTCTTACCACGCAAACAGGTCTGTGGATGATGCAGTCAACATGGGACTGCACTACATCCTGCAACATCTGGACAAACCAGGGACTTATGTAAGTACATCAGTAAACAAAGAACGCTTCTGTGCGCTGGCGTCCTCCCACAGGTTAAGAGATTTTAAACAAACACATTTAGTTAACCAAATGAAACAATACACATTTTAATGCTATAAAAGTGTGCACATTGAGAGAAGTAAACAGCAGATGTTCATGTTAACAACTTCTTTAACTTGAGCAAACACTGCTAATACACATATGCATTTGTTAATAAAACGAAAACATGCATGTTTTAATGCTAGAGAATAAAAGGAAACGATCCACCCGCATGCCTCTGCTCAACGATGGTGCCTGGATCTTTTTATTTTATTTTTTTTATAAATGCTTTATTTAGTGACAATTCACATGCAAATTGACAATAAAAGCAAAAATGTCAATAAATTCAAAGAAACAAACCACCTTGATGAAATAAATTACCTAATATGTCTCTATTTAAATAATGTAGTCTATTCTTCCAAATAAAGTTATACATTTTCTTATTTACTTGCCTAATAATTGACTTTGGAGTATCTAAAACCATTGCTGTATAAGATAATCTTGACAGTCCTTCAGCTTTTGACAGTAATATTCTACCATTCAAAGATAAATCTCTAATTAACCAAGAATTAAATTTCTTTTGTACTTTATCAATCAATGGAAGATAATTTATATCAATTCTTTCCTTCTGATTTTTACAAATTTTGATTCCCAAATAAGAAACATGGGTTTTAACTGGTATACCACACAATTCCACCACACGATGGTGCCTGGATCAGTGAGCTGCAGCTCGGGCCGATGACGTCACTTCCAGGGAGGCATGCCCAGGCCTGTTGTACACGCCCCCGTCCCTTGACTCCACCCCCATGTCAAAACAGTGCCAGAAAGCGAGACGCGCAGAAACGTGAAGCGCAAAGGGAAAACGGTATCGCAAGCTCAAACTTGACTGAAACGCAAAATAAAAGCAGCGTTGCAAATAAATTAGTAGATATGGCCATGGAAAATATGTATTGCAAAATCATTGCTTTTGTGCTGTTTCATTTATATTTTGCAATTCTTTATTTTTGTTTGCAAAACTTCTTTTTTTCTCGCAATACTTCATTTTCTTTTGCAATTCTTTATTTTTGTTTGCAAAAACACATTTATTTTTTCTCAATACTTTTATTTTCGTTTGCAAAACTTTATTTTCTTTTGCAAAACTTTATTATTTTGCATATATATGTGGCATTATTTTGACTCCATAGAAGTCAGTGTTTCCGCTACATTCATTCTGCCATGGCGGGCCTCCACACCAAAAATCATCCCTGCCACAGCTGCTTCTCAGTGACATCATAGTGATGCCACTCACATCATTCACAGCTGAGGAATTAGCGGAGGAGACAGATCAGGGCATGAATTTTGGCGTGGGAGTTATGGGTATTGCACATAATTCTGCACAGAATGACAGATGACAGAATGAATCATTTGCACATGCTTTTCAGTCTTGCCAATTTAAACATTCAAGCGACTTTAAGCTATTCAAGCACAAAAATATGTGAAAGAGAAGTACTTGCGACACTTCAACACAGTACTTGCGCGCTCTCTTACAGACTGCTTTCTGTGTGTCCACACCCATATCACGAGTTATGTTTTGCACTTTATTGCACATAAACAGCCAAATACATACAAAATTGTGTCAAAATGCCTGTCTTGGTGAGTATTCACTAAAACACAGTCGGTTTATATTAAACATAGTCAATATATAGGGTATTAAGTGAATGTAAACCACTAAGAAGCAAAACACATCCGTGCATGAGGTCTTAAAGAGACAGCAGCCTAAATAAACCTGCTGCTGTCTGTGTCATTACTCTTTATTTATACCGTGAAGACTATCCAGTGTTATTTTACAGTCGAAGTCTGTTTTTGTTATTTATTTATTTACTTTTTTTTACAGTTGAGTTCAGTTTCAGTAGTAATTCTGTACCTAAATATGACTGTTAGACATACCTGGAAAACTTAATGTACTGTTAATTTTATTTGTATCTTGTTTTTCATTTATTTGTTCTTATTTTATTACTTACTGTTTACTTGTCTTTTTTAGTTAAAATAAATTTAATTCTGAGTTTGAGTGCATGTGATTCTTGGGTGGAGAGGTTTAACCACCATGGGAAACAGTCCTGCCACCACAGCTGGAAAGAATCTTAGAGGAAACACTGGAAGTTCAACCTGCCACAGGAGCTGCTGATACAGTTCTACTCTGCAGTCATTGAATCCGTCCTCTTCTATAACTGTCTGGTTCAGCTCAGCTACCAAATCAAACCTTAGAAGATTGCAGCGGATAGTCCGGACTGCTGAGTGAATCACTAGTACAACCCTCCCCACTCTCCAAGAACTGCACTCATCCAGAGTGAGGAAAAGGGCTGGCAAAATCATTCTGGACCTCTCATACCCAGGCCACTTCCTCGTTGAACTGTTGCCATCTGGTCGGCGCTATAGAGCACTGAGCAAAAGAACGGCCAGGCAAAAGAACAGTTTCTTCCCTCAGGCAATCCATCGCATAGACAATTAACTTAGCAATAAACGTGTAATACACAACACTATTTATGCATTTATTTAACACACATACTTCTTATTTACATTTCCTGCTACTAGTACATAACATACCTGTACACACAAATACCATCTATTGTCTATTTTGTATATTGCGTATTTTTAAAAAAATATTATTTGTATATTGTTATTTCCTATTTACTTATTCTACTTTTATTCGTTTTATTATCTGTCTTGTCACTGTCATTCTGTTTGTGCTGTGGAAGCTTCTGTAACCAAAACAAATTCCTTGAATGTGTAAATATACCTGGCAATAAAGCTCTTTCTGATTCTGAAAAGAGGCTTTAATACGTTGAGTTCAGTACGACTTTGTGAGGCAACAGCTGATAAAAAGAAACAGCTTATCCACTAATTTATTTCTAACTAGTTTAATGTTTAAACATTCATTTGGAGTGAGCTATATTTGGATAAATAAAGGCTGTTTTATAAGAAAAGTCACAGAGTATAGTAGGATTCAGTTGGTGGCACGACTCTTTCATATTTACGGTATCCACGAAGAACGATTGGCTGTCATAAAAAAGTCAAAAGTGATTCAATAATTAGATTTTATTATAAATATATTTAAACCTAAGCTGTCATTTTGATAATCTGGTTTATTTCTGATATTTTTGTTTTGGCTAGTAGAACTTCTGAGTAGCTTGGCTGGTGAATAATCTTTTCTTTTTTTTAATCCTGGCCATAATTACTGTCTATGGTAATTCACAACATCTGTGGAATCAGTCCATAATGTATTTAACTTAGAATATTCTGTTAATTTCAACCATTTCATTTTTGGACTCTGTACCTGCTGGGACATCTTTCCAGGTGGTGATGAGCCTGGGCTTTCTTCTACTAAGCACAGGACCAACCTCAGAAGCCCAGGTGTCCCCTGTGCTGCAAGCCAGGGCTCCTAAGAGTGATAAGCACATCCATGAAGCAGAATATTGTTTCCCAAAATCCACAGGTATTTCTCCAGGACCAGCTTCAATCATATAGAGCAGGGCCAATTCAGTAGGAACTCCACCATTACAGAAAACTTGCAACCAGTTCCTCTGTCCTCCTGCAGACATAAAAGACACATAAGTGATATTATCAACAAACATTCTATACAGCAACAGCAAAAAAAAAAAAACTTTGAGAAAGGTTTGGTTAGAAGCTGCATTGGACAGATCATTCCGTGTAAAATCAACCAAATTTCAGAAACTTCCCCGAATCAAATTTTTTATTTTGTTAATATTTTTTCTGTAGAAAGACAAACATAAAGAGTGATGAAAGCCAAAATATTAAATGTCACAGATGTATATTTACTGAGTAATCCACTATTTTGTAGAGGGGGGGTCAAAATGACAATTTTCCCCTGAGATTTGGAGCCAAATTACAGGGGTGAAAAAATGACTTTAAAAAGCTGACAGCATCATTATTTTATTTTTACATAGAGATTGGTAGGTCTGTTAATAAAATCTGTTGACTTTATCTATCTTTGATTCATTATATGTCAACAGTGACAGTTAAAATAGGGCAAAAAGCACTTGTGTTTTTTCCTCAATTTTGCATGCCTTTAACTCAAGAAGTATTAAAGATATCTTAATATCCTTTTAGATTCTGTTTCTTAAACTTTCCTTTTGGTATCTTCATTTTAAAGGCCCTTGTTGGTTCAATCCCAGAGATATGGAGATCTTAATGCGGCTCCAGGTGTAAACTGGATACTTGTACACATTTTCAGTGGCCAAAAACCAAATGTGGGTCATTTTGCATATAGCTGATACTTTTTTCTTTTAAAGAAGAACAAATAATGTTGAAACTAGAAATGTATCTTGTGATTTTCTATCAACACAATTGCATAAAAAAAATTCTAGTAAAAAAAAAAATACATGTCTGGGTGCCATAAATAGGTTTGCATGCCTGTAACTCTAAAAGTATTCAAGATATTTTAATATCCTTCTAGATTCTCATTATTAATACATTTTGAAAGAGTGCAGTACGATTTCACAGCAAGAACTGGCAAATCTAGCGCAGTCCATGAGGATGAGATGCACTGTAGTACTTAAAGCAGCTGGTGGCCACACAAGATAATCACAGCAACTTTTGATGTTGACCCCTCCTTTGTTCATTATTCTACTTCTGCTCATCAAACGCATGTGAAACTTGTTCCGTTTATGTCTCAGTTCTGTAAGTTTTTATACTGAAATAAATATTTACACAAGTTAAGAAATTAGCTTGAAGTAAAAGCTGTTGAAGCCAAAGTGAAGCAAAAACATTTTGATCACCATCTGGTGGCTGGCTGTAGCATGGGTCATAAACCCCTCCCTCTCCATGTAAACGAATGGGCCTCTTTAAGTAAAACTCTGCATATTCAAAGACCTGTATTTATTGCATGGACGGAGCAAAAACATAAGTGTAAGTGTCTAAACTGTATGCTCACAGTTCAGATAAATAATAAAGTTTTTAACACTTAGTGCTGTTAAACTGAATTTACAAAGCAAACTGTTTGCAGCCACAACATTAACGACAACTCTAAAATAACAGTGCTGGTTTATCTGTCAACAGGGACATAGCCATTATTTCAAAAGTGAAGGGGACGGGAAATCTAGTGTAATACCAATTTTTCTTTTTCTGTTGTATTCTATTGTGTTCTGTTCTATTCTACAGTCCATTGTTCAGGAAAGAATAAAAAAAAATCACTTATACCACACTATTACAAATAGACTATGAAACTGAACTTAACTGACAAACATGTCACAATAAGGAGACCTTACAATAGCATGCAATAAACATTTAGTGTTTCGAGAACTATAGCATGCAATAAACATTTAGTGTAATTTAGATGAGTGTCATTTAGGCATGAGTGACTTTTTTTATTTCTTTTTCAAGCTCTTTATAACATTTTCTTTACGCTTTCTGCCCGGTTTGTTCAAAAACAACAAAATACCAACACAGTTTAAGCTAATATTTCTAAACATTAGCAACAATAATCCCTGGATTACCAGCAACATTAAATAACTCCTCAACCAGAAGAAGAGGGCTTTTAAGAATGGTGACCAGGAAGAGTTAAGATGCATACAAAGGGAGCTCAAAGTCCAGCTGAAAGAGGCCAAAGATATCTAAAGGAGGAAAGTGGAGCAGACGTTGCAGCAAAACAGCATGAGGGAGGTATGAGATGGCATGAATACCATCACAGGATGCAGCTCAAAGCGGGGGAACTTTGTGGAGGGGGATGTGGAGAGGTCCAACCAGTTAATGCCCTGCCCCACTGCTGCTTATAGGGGCCTGCCATTTCTGGTCTAAGAACACAGATGCCCTCTACAGGAAGGGACAGAGTCGACTTTAATATTTGTCAGAAGCTATTGCAGATTGTAACATATGAAACAGCTGTGTGCAATCAGTGCTGTGTGCAATCAGTGCAATGAATGATGGGATATGTAGTCCGGGGTGATATGCAACAGTGTGTAGTGCGAGAGTCAATGAAAATGGAAAGGGTGACCTCTGATGGCTAGCAGACGGAAGTTCATGGACCGGATTCGTGACACATATATTCTACCAGGTGGTCATTTCTAGCTTCCTCTTCTATGCTGTGGTGTGCTGGGGAAGCAGCATTAAGAAGAGGGATGCCATGCAGTTGGATAAGCTGCAAGAAGGCTGGTTCTGTGGTGGGTGTAGAACCGGACTCCTTAACAGCTTATTAGCTATTATCTTGCTAGTGTAATAATTTTTTACATTATTGTCTTGTCTGTTTTTATTGTTGCTACTGGACACTTGAATTTCCCTTGTGGATTAATAAAGTAATTATGCCTGAAAATGCTTTTCTCAACAACTAGGAATTGATTCAATCATCTGTGAAGACACCATGAGTCAGAGAAAAATAAAAATAAAAGTCAGAAAAGTTAGTTTAGGATTAGTTGGGAAAGTGCATGATATTCTTGGGTACACTATCCATGGAAGTATTGTATGATTACTGCTTAATGTATCTATAACACTGCAATCAGGTTGTGTAGCCAAAACATCAAAGGGGTCATGAACTGAGAAATCAAAATTATCTTGATCTTTTGACATATAAGAGGTCATTGTACTATAAAAACATCCTGTAAGTTTCAGAACTCAAAACTTTCTTGTTAGTCTAAAAACAGCTTATACTGAAGCCAATCTGCCGAAACGACAGGTTGTGGAATGTGCCACTTTATGACGTAATAGTGTGGCTAAACCCCACCTCCACAGAAGAAGATCAACACCTGCTTCTACATCACTGCCTGTTAAGCCCCACCCACTGATTCGCACATGTCATGTAGTGTAAATAACGAGAGGCAAACGCAGGTCTATGCAGAAACCAAACGATAAAGATGGCTCCAAAGACAACAAAATGCTGTGCAGTGCCAAGTTGTGGAAAAACGGTCTTTGGATTGCCTTCCTTCTGATCTTAACATTAGGAAAGAGTGGATTAACTTTATTTTTAATGAAGATCCAGACTGTGTCAGTAAGTGTTTGGTCCTTTGTTCACTTCATTTTACTGCGGATTCATTTATAAACAAAGCACAATTCGATGCAGGATTTTCAGAAAGATTGAAACTAAAAGACGATGCTGTGCCGAATATAGCCTATTGGATGCGACAGTAATGTCGCACCACACAAGTGTGAGTATCTGTTTTTATTATGTGGTCACTATTGCTTTGTCTGTTATTACAGATCGTTTGATATACTGAGTATTTATGCGGTTTTGACCTAAATCACAGCAGTATCCATCTATGAAGGATGTAGGCTGTCAAACATACACAACTGTTAGCCAATCATAGCAGTGGGCGTTTACTTCCAAGTCTACAATCCGCCACACCTATTCTAACGGAGCGTTCTGATGAAGGGGGTCAAAACAGGACAGAAAATAGCCTATTACTTCTAAATTATGATGTATTTTGTAAACATCTTGATAACATTACACTGTAAAAAAAAAATCCAAATTTTACGGAAAATAACTCTAAATTTTTTACAGTATTTTTCTGTAATTTTAAATTATGTTTAAAACTATGTAAAATGACTAACAATATCTGTAAATTAACAACTTGACTGTTATTTTACGGATTATATTATTAATGACAAATTACAGTAATTCTCATTTTTTATACGGGAAATATTACCTTATTATTTATACAGTATTTTTTTCTGTTTTCTTAAATTACATACAAATTCATGTAAAATTACGAACAATATCTGTAAATTAACAACTTGACCATTATTTTAA